CAAGAGATAGACATCTCAGTATTTTTAAAATTATGATTTTCAACCTCAAAAGTGTACAAAAAACTTTTAACATGTGATCTTGAGCACCAGTTAGTTGATAGGCACTGAATCAAGGATTAGCATGAGAAAAATTCACATGACCCACTCGTTCGTTGTTTGCACTTCTTCATACAGCACTTTCATAGTTTCTAAAATTGTCACGGCCTTCCTTAGTAATTCAAGTGATCGGTGATCACTATGCTTTACCCTGAACTTTTGTAAAACAATATTGTGGCAATAATAATAATAATAGTTTATCTTTACGAACATATAAATAACCATCATTATATTAGAAATGTCACAGACAAAAAAATATAAGAATCATATTTCTAAGTACAGACTGTATATGAATAGTGCATTTAGGAAAGTTAGAACCTGTATAATGAAAGTCATATACAGAAAGTATATAAAATGAAAAAATACATGTAAAAAAGTATTGGAAAGAAGTTGAGAAAGCAAATAATAACAAAATCAGTTGAAGCAATAGTTTATTGTACATCAAAACTACATGAAAATGTTTTTTTTTTCTATCTTCCTTTCCGGTCAAGTTATGTTAATTTTTTCAGAATTGTTGATTGTGACTAGTTTTGAGTAAGTATCTCAACGTTTGACCGATAGATACGATTGGTTGACATCTTCAGTGGGATGACGGAAGAGTTGAGAAACTCGAAATTAACAACGATTCACAATTCCGAAAAATGATATATACCTTGGAATGTATGATTTCTTAGAAAGAGCCTGAAATAGTTCCTTGTTCTTCCTTTACAAATCTTCAGTAATCACTTTAGTACTCAAATGATTGGCAACAATATATCCCACATTCAAAATCAACTCTAATTCATGGATTATTTTTTATTATCTTCAGTCTGCTATATAACAAAACACTAACTTCATTATCTTATCTAAGGAAAAATATTTCAGGATCATTTAGGCAAATTCTCGGACCGTATTTACCTGATCTAACAAAGGTTTAATTGTATTTCATTAATTTTTTGAATCCATGTTCATTTAGAACTCAGATTGGAGAAACATACACTTCTGCATGAACTCCTCAAGGTGTATGAGGTGTACACTGTGTTAAAATTTAGAATATTCTGTCATTAACATAAGAAGCACTGCCCACTCATCAGCGTGGATGAAATTCTCGTGAGATTACCACATATATGTTTCCTCAGAAACTTTTAAAAATAATCATATCTGTATCTTTGAGTATAACTTTGGATTTTTTTTCAGCATCACTGCCGTAAATGTGGAGCGGTAGTATGTGGACCTTGCTCAAATAAACGTTTTCTGCTGCCTAATCAAAGTTCAAAACCCCTAAGAGTATGTTTACATTGTTACGATGTTCTCACGACGGCCACCACGAAGAATCATAATTCATTGGAATCAGCTTCAAAAGGTATGTATGTGAATGAAATGAAAAAAACACTTTTTATCTTAATATTTCAATTTTAAATACAAACGATTTTGGAATAATAGTAACGTCGATACTTCAAAAACTCTTGAGAGATTTGTTTATTATTTAAAAAAATATTACTGAAACTAAAAGCTGTATCAAAATGAATAAATTAACATAATAATCTAGTGNGTGTTTCTTCAAGTGTCCATTAACCAAAAAATAAATGAGTGAATAAAAAATACTCAATAAGGCATCATGAAGTAATTGCATGCTAACCTGACGGTTATACAGGCACCTTTTAATTGTTGTCTGCTTTCACATGAACTGATCACAGACTCATTCCACATTACTTTTAAGGATTTCTATTTTCCTTTGATAAGTTCTAAATACACTCTCTAGGTGTTGACCTTTCATACAGCTACAGAACTGATTCAGGGCCGGTGGGAGAAATCGTACATACATACTTATTGTATTGAGGGAGAGGCTTCACACCGGCCATGACTCAGTCCGTCCGGCAGCTGTAAATATCCAACTCGATAATTGTTAATATTATTATTCAACTTGAATATTCAAGGCATGTATCCCCTTTCTTATGAAATTGTTCTTGAAGTAATGATTAGTATCAATGTCTAATATTTTTTTATGATGACATTATAACCTGTGTTCAGGTCTGAATGCAGATTCTTCCGGAGAAGATGATTCTGATGATGATGAAGAAACTAATAAAGGACAACCCGAGGCTCATGATCTGGTAAGTATATTCGTTGACTCAGACATTTTTGCCAATGGCAAATATAACTTTATTTTAAAGCAAGTGATGAAATATGTTCAACACCATATAGTAAAGATCAAAGTTGGATGAAAACTATTTTAATTCATGCACATATTTATTTTGAAACAGTTTCGAAGTCACTGTCTTGGTTACACTTGCTGAGGCTTGTAGTTGAACTAAGCCAAGGTTGTAAGTTGAACTTGTGGTTCCATGCTACATTTTTAGCTAACAGAAGAGTTGAAATTTTCGATGAAGGGTGAGCTTAATAATTTCAATTGCTTTGTGAAGCGTTTGTGTTTGGCTGATATTTTTCCGGTAAATATTTTTGGTATTTAGAAGATATTTTTGTGTGGAAGTAGTTCACATTATGAGAGTGAAGTAACCCCATAAAACAAGATCAGATTTAAATAAATCCCTAAATAAACAAAGAAAGAAAAAAGTTGAACTTGTGATGTTGATTAACAATACAAAATAAGTAAATACACAATTTACAAAATATTACTGCTGAAAATACAATTCTTAAGAACAAACTGGATTCAAATAAAAATCAACATAATTGAGAATCTTCAGGATGGCACTCATTAGGATTAACTGAATACACTATTGAACATCACAAGAGCCAAAATAGTGAAAGAGGGGTGGAACAAGAGATAGACATCTGTCACTTTCTTTTAAACTTCAGATGGCTAGTTCCATGGCATATGAAAATTCTCATCGAGTAAGGAACATGATTAACTGATCAAACAAAAAATTACTGTGTAGATTCAATATAGAATAAAGAAAATAACTTTTTTCTAATTTCTACTAAGTTTATCATTTGTTACGACTGGTTTCGGTTAATTACACCATTTTCAAGGATTAATACAGTAACAAGATAAGTACTTAAATACACACTGATAAGGTCGAGTACCTGTAATAGGTTAGGTTAGTTCCCCCACCTGAGACAGATTCTACGTACGGCGCAGTTCTGGCTCCTGAACTAAATTTACAGGGAGGATCGTTGGATTCTCAAACTTGACATCCATCTCCTCTGTAGACTCGCTCCTGAACTAAATTTACAAGGAGGTCAGTTGGAGTCGTAAACTCGACATCCATCTCCTCTATAGACTCGCTCCTGAATTAAATTTACAGGGAGATCAGTTGGAGTCGTAAACTCGACATCCATCTTCTCTGTAGACTCGCTCCTGATCTAAGTTTACAGGGAGTCTCTTCTGTAGACTCAGCGCCAGAAATTTTTTTAAAGTTTACTCTGTCCATAAAAGTCCCACGAGTAGCTAGAGAAAGGAGGTCAATCACGGCAGAGCCCCGCATTACCGTGACAAGGCGATGCTACGACGAGAGGTCGCCTGGTATCTCGAAGGTTCTGTAGAGACAGCTGATGGGCTCAGTGTCATTCATCTTCTCAATACGGATACACACACCTCAGGATTAAGTCATCGTTGGAATGCCATTCAGTTAGAGAATAACAGAACCACAAGTGATTCTGTCATTCCCGAATCCAGCGGGGCTACGTGGAAGCCCCGCTGGCCTGTTTGCAATGCCAATGCACTCGCCGAAAACAGCATGCACAGTGGTTCAGGAAGTGAAAGATGAACAAGGACAGCCAATCCGCCACCTGTAATGGGTACCTGAAATAACAAATGTTACCTGAATACCAATACTACAATAACTAATTATCTTCTATAATATATCACAATTACTAACTGTTGAATGGATCCTAAACTAGATGTCAAAATTCACAAATTCAAAAGGGGAAACTTCATAGTTTTAGTTGATCATTGAGCCTTATGAAATTGGGGTTTTTGTGCAATTTATTCATTTCCAATGCTTCCAACAAATTCATCTCCCTTCTTTTAATGCACGTATGAAGAATTTTCATGGTTTATTTATTTATTGTGTGGTTTGTTTCTTATAGATGTACATATATAGCTGATTTTTTATCTGTTATTTAAGACGACTATTTTGAACACAAAAGAATAACTAGAGAATTATTTATTTTACTGTACTTTAGATACAGCATATAGATGGTAGGCTAAATCTAGTATCAAAAGAAATTTCACTAATCTTACGAATGTGGGGCTCTTCGGAAATGGGCCTGTTTTAATTAAAGTCTCTGGGTCAAATTGACCATAATGTTGAGGAAAATGCACTTTTGAACATGATGAATAAAAATTCTTATTGTTAGAGCTTGCTACAAATTGATGATTTTGAATTGAGACGAAGGTTCTTTAAATTTCACTGATTCAACTGACTTTTACAACCTTGTCGCCTTCAAAATCATAAATTACACATTTAACATTAGATAGATAGATAGATAGATTATCTTTATCAGTTCTTTGGTACAAAGACCCTTGCGGGTGTAGAACATGTCAATAGAAAGATAAATGCACTGCATATATGCAATAGGTTAGGTCCAAAGTGCACAACCCGCAATGGTTTATTGTGGCACACACCTATTTACACTCGACCAAATGAACCCAGCTTCGTAACGAAGCCGATTAGTTTGTATGGTGAGTGGTCTTTCAGGTCAGATGATAAGAGTACGGCTCTGCCGAACTCTAAAAACCTGATTCGGTCCCCAGCGGGGCAGGCACAAACTGTGTGTGATGATTCAAATGACAGTGACCCGTAAGAAGGACTGTTAGACATCGTAGTTCATCCAAACTATAGTCCAACAACTGTTTGGTATCAAGCTTTGAAGGGTGAATAAACGCCTTTGAGTGAGCCAATCCTGGAAGATTCTGCCAGAAGTCCATAAATCTTCTTGCCATCCAGGTGTTCAATCTTTGTTTGGCAGAGCCTAAAGCAATGCTAATGACAGGTTCTGGTCCGATGAAGCTGCTTGCAGCACCCTCCTTAATAAGTAAATGAATGAAACGATTGTTAACTTTGCCTTATCGATGGAAAGATCAGATTTGGACCACACTATCGTTTGCGTGCAAACGTGCTTCTTGCCATGCACCAAATGACAAGGTTAGCCGACTATCCGATATTGGACTAAGCTGCTATCTGTTTCATCTGTAGTAGTTACACTTGATTCATACAAATACGTTCCAGAGTGTGGATATTAGTACCTTGATTGTAATATGCTCATATATACTAGTAAGTAATACTATTATACAAGATTTTAGGGCAATAGAGCTGATTAAACTACATCAGTCTACAGCTACACTATTCACAAGAAAAAACATGTTTTTTGAGTTTTTGTGTTTTGTCTAACTTGTTTTTATTTTGTATTATTAGAATGACTAATGAAATGAAATTTCTATTTTCAGCCAAAATTTTATGGAGACAATGAAAAAACTGAATAATCTCTCAATATACTGCACTTCCACTTTTATAAGATTATTTTCATGATTTACTTTATCAAGAGATACATATTTTAGTATTGAAATATATATTTTTAATAAAAACCCACATGTGTAAGATGACTGTTGAAAAATATGTAGATGTTAAGAATATAATTTGTTTCACAATTAATTAAATTATTAACCCAAGAGCCACTGAAAAGGTATTATAGGCAACTTGAAATGATTATAAAACCTACTGTCGATATTAGTGAATCAGAAATGAAGAACCTAAAAATTTAGGAGGGGGTCGTTTGCGGTTCTGTATTCATCAATTTATAGCACTTTTTACTGAATATCTGTTGTAGACGGGAAAAAACATATGACTAAGTGGTTCAAATAGTGGCAACACATTCTCTCTCTTGGATTGAGTTTGATGGCTCTTTATTAGAGCTGAACATTTTTTGCAAATATATGCTGCACTTTTTTGAAATGACTGATATAGTATGTTTTTTTAACATTTCAAGTAGCTTGAAATATTTTCTCCAAATTTGTCATTGTCTCTTGATCTTGGGTGCTAAGTTGAGGGCTCGGAGTTTTTCAGTAAATAAATTTTGTAATTTGAATAATATTTTGGTTGTTATTCTATTGGTGAACTTGTGAAGTCANATATACTCTAAATTTTCTATGGGACTAATTTTGTCATCTCATTTCAATAAAAAAAATATCCGAAGTTTTTTTCCATAGTTGTAACATTTTTGGAAATACTTGAAAAGTTGTGGATTTTGGTGTCAGATTTTTCTCCACTTGTGAAATTTTCGTCGACAGTAGATAAGTTGGAACTGTTTATAAAAACATATAATATTGTAAAAACTTACAGGACCTCCATTTTTTGTCCATTACATAATGAATGAAATTCTTCATTGCAATTTTGTCAGATTTGCTATAGTTCAGGAAATATTGGTAAAAATTGGAATAGTATCATTTTGCATACAAATGTTGGAAATTTCAAAAATTTTCATAGAATCTCTTTAAAAAACCTGTTCAAAAACTGTTTTTCCGCTAATCATCTGTCGCCCTCTATGAATGACAACCTTCAATCAAAAGACAGAATACTTGTGTGAGTTAAGAATTAACGAGAACTTACCTTTCAACATGTGATTCCCAGCACGTTGTGTTCATTTCAACGATTTAACCAACTTGGAACTAAAACAGAAAATATTGAAAAAACCCATAGAACACTTTTTGTTAGTATTGAGGAGGTGCTACAGTTCCGAAATTATTTCAAAAAACCAAATTTTATTGTACTTTATTGGATCTAAAAAGTGAGAATACAGGAAAAACTCATGGGATCTTCTCTGTTCATATAGAAAAGACAAACAAAAAAAGCAGATACATTTTTTTTGTAAATGAAGTTTAAGACTCGTTTGCGAAATACATGAGAACCAAGCAATTGAATTAAACATAAAAAAACAATATATTTGAGTATATTTATTAGTAGAACAACTTTCCAGATATGCCCCAACTTCCTTTTAAGGCCATTTAATTTGTTGCTAGTTATAAGTTTACGCTCTATTTAATTTTATTCTCAGTACTTTTCACTTCTCATAACTTGCTAGTGGAAATGTCTTTTTTAAATTCATTAGTGCAGTACTTTTGGATGAATCATCATTCTCTAAATGTCTTTGAAATTGACTTACAATTTCCTCTAGAAGTAAGGAATTATTCCATTAATGAAAATGTCCTTTTTAGTGAACAGCGAAGCTAATACTAGGCGTATAGCTATGGTTGAGAATTGTTTTGGCAGTTCAGGACAGGTAGGTGCTTGACTTTTTTTATAATTTGACACTTAGTGAGTAAATAAATATGAAACACATCTAGTGAAATCATATACAGATGAAATTTGAACATTAGGAAAGTTTATCTTGAAATACGAACTGAATGTGTATCTTTTGGATCCATTAAAAGTCAAATAATACCCCCTTTATGTAAATCAAACAAAAGTATCAAACTAGGTATTTATATCGGAATTTCTTAAAAATTTCAAATGTTTTGCCTGTGTGAAAAAGGAGATCAGGAGAACCAGAAACTACCAAAACTACCGTGGTCCAATATTATTCCAGAATCTAGGAGACATATCCCTACACCATAGCTTCTTTGGCTACTAAAGAATTATCGTTTTATTGTAAGCATTTGCTGATCTGCTCAGGATATGTCATAACTTCAGTAATATATTTGTCATACAAGAACATTGTAGAGCTATCATCTGTAAGTGAAACTTTATCAAGCTGAAATACTTACTTTGCCAATTATTCATGATTGTATCTGGAGGTGATTTTCTCTATTCATCCGAAGAAGTTATTCAAATAGTACACGTTTTAGACCTTTTTGTTGCTAAATATCAGACTTGATATTTCTGTTATCATAATTTATAGTAAAAAAAAACATTTTCTCATCCTCAAAGCATATTATTCTATTGAAAAGTTTTTGGGTGACAATTGTTTCAGTTTTGATTATTATTTTTTATTAATAATTTATATTTTACCATTCTTCAATTTTGATTCTCATTTTCTAGTGTGATGTAATAAANATATTGATATAAGACATTGAATTTTGGAATATACCAATGAAAAATAAATCAATTCAAGGTATTTTACAGGGTACAACATTTCTTATTTTGAATAAAATTCCAATTATGGGAGCTATTTTTTCTTATTGTTTCAGTAAGAAAACATTCATATAGGTTTATTTAAAGAATACAAAAATGATTTCAGGGGATACTGCGAAAATCTTATAGACGATCTTCTGAGAAGAATGGAACAGTACGCCAACAATCTAGAAGTTCTAGTAAGTGAAAAAACGGAAGAACTCAGTCAGGAGAAGAGGAGGTCGGAAGAACTTCTTTACCAAGTACTACCAAGGCCCGTCGCTCAGCAGTTGATGCTTGGAGAACTTGTACAACCCGAACAATTTGAGTGCGTTACTATTTATTTCAGCGACATCGTCGGGTTCACTGCCCTTTGTGCGAAAAGTACACCGATGCAGGTATTTGGAAGTTCATGCTTCTGTTTTTGCAATTTTAAAATATGTATTCCTTACAGGTAGTCGATTTTTTAAACGACCTATACAGTACATTCGACAGGATCATAGGATTTTACGATGTGTACAAGGTAATAAAAACTACCAGTAGCAATACGTTATTCATCAACTATTTGAAGACAATTTGTTCAACATTTTTGCTTGTCTACACTGTCAACAGAAAAATTAAAAAAAAAAATTGAAACACTTCTTCCACATAGCAGAACTGCTGACAAGAAATCATTACACCAATGAAATTTGCGTTGGCAATTTTTTTTGTGAAGTTGTACGCCAAACCCCCTTTTTATTTTCATATTCGTCACCCCTTCAAATATTTTTTAATAGTGATGATCATACAAGGCCGTTTGAATTAGTCAATTAGAAGACATTGGCATGTTGAAGGTACTTGATAAATGTTTTAACCATTTCTGATCAGTTGAAAAAAATGCACAGAAATTTTCACAAATAATCAACATAACCCTGAATGATTCAGTATATAAGTATGTTCAATGATTCGGAGAACTGAAAAATCATGTTATTGCATGATTTTCATGCAGGCCATACTAACCCTACCAAGTGTTTCTTTCATTTACTTTTTCAAGTTTATCGAATATTACATCAAGTGCGGATTTTAACAAATCTACTCTATAAGAAATTTTCAACTTCATGAAATAAAAATGAATGAAGGACCACATAGTATTTTTATTTTATAATCGACATGTTTAACGTGTTTTATGAAATACATTTAGGGCTACATATTAAAATTTGGTCACGTGATGCAGAGTTTGTTTTTGACCTTGTTTAGATAACTTTATAAAATATTTATTTTTGAAAGGATAATACCCATTAATATCAACATTTTCCACATCATGCTGACTCAATCGATGACAGTGCATACTTGTTTCACTTTAGCGTCATTTTGAAGAACTTTGATCATACTCCCGCTTGTGAATGAATCGGTTTTGCTGTTGGCGATTTCTTCAATTTGGATTCGACACAGCAAAGCTCCACCTTTTAACACCAGATGGCAGCATTACCGCCTTACGTTGGGTTACGCAACCCAACATAACATGTATCTCGATCGACAGTTCACAATTCGTGCCTTAAACTAATGAGTAAGGAAAATAAACAAGCCTTGGTGACGCTTGGCTTACATGTTAGAAAAATCTAACCTTTAAATTTTTGTAGGAGTACAGGTCGTCCCGTGGGGTTATGCATACTTCGCATGATTCCTGGTGAAGCGATCTGCTCCATAATCGAAAAGAACATAATTCACTTTTTAACTGATATAATACATCAACGCTAGAAATAAAATTCCATTATTATTAACTTTTGTAGTGTATGTGGTATGGAAAATATAGTGAAATAAATACAATGTGTACATGACTTTTGAGTCTCGTATTAATTAATAGCTTGAATTGTTTGTTCATGAAAGTGCACTCGCTTGTAAGCAAAATTTTTAAAATTATGTAATTTCAAGCCAATCATTCTGATCGATTGAGCTTGGTGGTGTAAGAGCTTTATTTGAATAATTTCCAGCAAAAAAAAAACAATCAAAAATCTTAGTGTGAAAATTTCAAGATTTATGATTTAATCGGTTAAGTTTTTGATGGAATCAGGTATTTTGTTATAAATATTGATCACAGAAAAAGGAACATTTTTCTGTACAAAACAAAACAAACACGACCAATTGTAACTATTCCAAACCAAAAAAAAAAATCATCGAAACTTACAACAGACTGTTATTTTATTCACTACAAAAAAGGTACTGTGATACCGAAACATGCGATATTTTTAGAAATGAAGTTTGTGAAGATCAAATCGTTTCTGGTGTAGTTTGTGATATATTTAAACGTTTTCCAATTTATAGATAAGATCATATATCAAAATTACAGGATATGAGTGTTATATTGGTAACGATTATAGTCTGGAGACTGGTTTTATAAAGATGTGTAGTAACTAGAGATGAAACATATATCCAGTCACTATCCGCTATCAAGTCTATCTGACGGCCTAAATATTATCCAGCCGAATACCGGATAACTAGCGGCTATCCAGCTGAATACCGAAAATATAAAAATATGTTTTTAGGTAATTGCTTTATTTAGTTAGTATCACTCAAGAAGTACAATCAGTAATCACAATATATTTCTACAGCCCAAAAAATGAATTAGTATTCATACTACACTAAGGGTGCAGGGTGAATGAATACTAATTTCTCTGCCTCAAGAGGTAGCAGGCTGTTTTGCTTGTCTTCGTAAATAAGGCTAGCTNAACCCAAGAGCTACTGAAAAGGTATTATAGGCAACTTGAAATGATTATAAAACCTACTGTCGATATTAGTGAATCAGAAATGAAGAACCTAAGAACCTAGGAGGGGGTCGTTTGCAGTTCTATATTCATCAATTTATAGCACTTTTTACTGAATATCTGTTGTAGACGGGAAAAAACATATGACTAAGTGGTTCAAATAGTGGCAACACATTTTCTCTCTCTTGGATTGAGGTTGATGGCTCTTTATTAGAGCTGAACATTTTTTGCAAATATATGCTGCACTTTTTTGAAATGACTGATATAGTATGTTTTTTTAACATTTCAAGTAGCTTGAAATATTTTCTCCAAATTTGTCATTGTCTCTTGGTCTACATCATTATATTGATTTCCTGAATGGGTGCTAAGTTGAGGGCTCGGAGTTTTTCAGTAACTACATTTCGTAATTTGAATAATATTTTGGTTGTTATTCTATTAGTGAACTTGTGAAGTCAATTTGTAATGTATATATTGTATTAAAATTTTTCAATATTTATTAAATTTTCATAAGTAATTGTTTTTGCTATTCCATTGTCCAATTAGTTTTAAGATGCTCGTTTTATATTTGAAATTAATATAGACTGACAGTACTATCTAACAGCTTTACTTCCATATGTGTAACTTGTCGAGAATGTTTTGGACTCTGTAACAAAAAAGAGCAAGAATCCTTGTGTACTACAGTTCCGTTAGTCCGCAGCATATCGAAAGATGAAGTTGAAATCTCCCATTCTTGGCAAGTTTCAGATAATATCAATTCTATCTGGCCAGTTCTTAATATTTACATATTATGTGAGATTCATTTGGAACAATTAAAAAACCTTAGGTGCATAAGTTTCATGGGTGAAATTAGGTTCCCATCACAAATAATATCGAATAATCAATTATTATAACTGAATAATTAATATTTAGCTGCTGTGATATGTAGGCCTACTTGTAATACAATGAATTTTTCTAATTTTATGGAAATGTTACACAACTTTTCTTCGACTTCATTTAAGTTTATGTAATCATCACAGTTTTTATTATAATTACATTGTTATGATCAATTATTATTTTATTACACTATTAAATATTTAAAATCAATTTTGTTTCTTTGACATGGATTCTGAATGTGACTCATTATACAATGACCTTAAGAGTATGATCGTCAGAGCGGTCCCCAATTTGTCCCCAATTTTTTCAGTTGGCGAGATAAACCCCTGTTTGGAGGAAATGATCATCATCAAAGAATACATTTGTTTCGGAAATTCTGGTTGTCTGCCTTGAAAATAATTTGATAAATATCTCTTGATGGATTCGAGTGATGCTATAAATTTTAATCATTTATAGCATCACCCCATATCTTTATGTGATGAGTTATTGAGGAATATCTAAACATGGAAAAAAAAGCAGATACATTTTTTTTGTAAATGAAGTTTAAGACTCGTTTGCGAAATACAAGAGAACCAAGCAATTGAATTAAACATATTTTCAACTTTCAAGTATGGTCGTAGTACATATTTACATTACTGGAATACAAAATTTTTCGTGAAATCGAGTTGAAACTACAAACTATTCTGTTTGGTCGTAATATTCACACAACTGGTTTCTATCAATAGTTTTGAAGTTTTAAGAATATTCTTTATTGGTTTACATATAGTTACATATGGATAAATCATCTATTTCGAGAATTCTACGTGGTGCTTGCTTCTTTTCTGTGATAACAGATCTTTGAGGAAATGCTTTGAAATGGGCGGCTCCAAATTTGGACCATTTGACGCAAGAAAACACGCCAAATGAATTTCATTATTGATTAATATGGTATTATTACCTTTTGTAAGAAATATCCTCACTTGCTTAAAATATAATATTGAGAATATGAACGAGTATTACTTAGAATTAAAAAAAGGATGAATCATCAGATGCAATTTTTTACCTAATAATTCTGATGAATAAAGTGTGTGTTTCACATTCCACTAAAAAAACCTCGTGGCCCTATTACCATATTTCAATAAATTGTTTATCAAAGTTTCATACTACTAGCGTAGCAAAGAAAAATACACTTTGAAATAAAATGTACTCGCCACTTGGGACAAGTTAGGAAGGAAATTCAGTGATTATCAAAATCCTTTGGGAGTGTTGTATGTCTTTGATATTCATGGTTTGAGTCGTCTCTTTACCCCATGTATGGCGTTTTCGTAATGTTACGTCGTCAACGACATCATTATAAATGTATACAGCCATGTTTCTTCAAATTTGTTAATGGCTAATGCACATTATTTATCACTCAAAATAAGAAAAATAATAATTCCATTTTTTCGTATTGACACAGAAAAATAAATGTAAACCAGTACCAGATTGTGATATGATTACGAGCTACATTCAGTAAAACTTTTAAAGTATGTAAGTTAAACCGGTTATGAAAAAAAATCAAAATTGTGAAGTAAGAATCTGTTAATCACGTCCTTAAATCTAAGAAGCGAGGAAATCAAAATTTGTCGTATCATCTAAGAACATTAACATATTTCAGGTATTGCATCATATATACTTCAATATTATCGTGAGTCGTAGTTAAAACCTGAGAATGAAAATGAAGATGTTATTGTAAAATTGAGAAAACAAGCAAATAATTATACTCTCAACAAACATCGTACAGAGGATATCCCCACCTTCGCATTTAAATAATTGAAATTTTAATATAGTCATGATTACTTGTGAGGATCTTCAATCACTCATCGTGAATCTTATAACCCTCAAGGGCATTATTTGAATTCTTATCAGTACCGACTTGATAGAGGAATTCTGATATTGCCTAACAGGGAGTTTCAAAGGATACACTAAGTTTTCTTTATTGGAAAAATTTACAAGGTTGGGAAAATAACTGGTACTTAAATTATTATTCTGCACTTTTTTCCTTGGAAATTTTCAAGTTTTGGTTTGATTGAAATTTGTAAATCAAATACACAGTGGCTTGAAGTTCTTCTTGTTTTTTGAACTTTCCGCAGTTTTTCAACAGTAATACCTCAGAACACTGTAGTAATACCCCAGCAATAGGTACACCCATACTATAATGTAAATATCGATTTGATTGAAAATGTTCGGGTATAACTATTTTGCAGGTCTGCAGGTCAGCAAATTATTCTCACTGGACGTTGCTCTTGTAATCTTGTAGGAGGACAGAAATTCTTGCAGGTCGGGTCTGCCAGACATGAATCTCGACCAGGTTAATCATTTTCGACAGAAAAATTATCCAACGTAATTCCAGTGATGGCCTAGCCATCAAGTTTTGCTGAAGCCAATAAAAAACTGCAACTGTATAATTAGTACTACAAATTCATTTAGGCGATATGGACTTCATTATCGAAATGAAGATTTTCCAGATGAATATAAATCGCTGTAATTTATTTAAATGGAATTCGTTTTTAGTGACTCTGATGATACTGACTTGGTTAGCAATGTAATAAATGTGACCTTCGGGTATCTTCAGCAAAAGCCACTCTTTCCCAAAAACTGTCCCAAAATCTTACCAGGAACTCGAAAATGTTCTCTAAATCAGCTAAACTGAATCAGACCGCGAATAATAATCAAAACCCAATCACTTCTCGAATTCTCTCACAAACTCTATAGGAAGTCCAACCGACCTACTTTTGAGTTCGTACGCTCCTGACTTTTAGCTCAAGTCAGCTGGCCAAATAAGACGCGGCAAACTCCCAAATACCAATATTACTTGACTTGAAATATCTCAATATTTCAACTCACTCAAAGCTTCCTCAAGAATTTCCAAACTTTGTAGGAAATTCAACTGAACTGGACAATTCTCCGCGCTCAACTCCTTTTATCTCAATTCAACTAAACCGCAATTATTTGTCAATCCCGAAACACCTCGCAAAACGGTGCCCCGAACTACCTCGTATTTCAGTATCTCCAGAATTCACTTAGAACTTCGTCAGAAGTCCAATCGACCTACTTCTGAGTTCGTACGCTCCTGACTTCTACCTCAAGTCAGCTAGCCAAATAAACCGCGAATATTTCTCATTACTGGAATCCCCTCGCGACCCAGTGTCTTAAAACACCTAGTCCTTGCAATAGCTTTCTCAGCAACCTCCCCAAAGGGGCCAACTGCCTCGGTTCAGAGCTCCTCAAACGACCCTAGGGTACTCGCACGACTGACTTCGTACGCTATTAAACTTTTTCACCTCAATTCAATTAAACCGCGAATAATTAACAAATCTGAAACCCTTTACGACACCGGGTCTCCGGAACCATGCCCGGAGGTCGAAGCGACCCGGTCAGAAGACCGCGAACTCCTCGCGGGTCTGCGCACGACTGACTTGAATCTTTTTCAAAACCTTTCCACTTGAACTCTGTTAGGGGATGTAATTCAAATGATTTCATAAAAATTCCCTCCAATCAGAAAGTCTGAAATTATTTACAAACCCGATACTCTCAACGTCCTCTACATGTCCAATGAATGAGTCCGCGAGAATTCCCGACTGGTCCCCAATATTTTTAATGTCGTGAGCCTGCTACTGATATGTAGATGTCACTGCAAGGGTTATTTTGATATTTTCTCTGTCTTGAATAAGAGGTATGTAGACTATCTTGGATGCCTTAATTTTATCATGTCGTTAAAACTTTGTACTCATAAAATAAATTTAGATATTTATTATACTTTCAAGTACTTATTAACAGTTATTCTAAATGGGGTACACAGACTGAATAATATATTTTTGAGCCTTAACGTCATGATAATGAAATATGAGGTTGAATGTTCTAAAATATAAGATTTCTTAAACATTGAGGAGTTAATTTTAATGACTTTTTTTTTGATTGGCTTCGCTCTTGTTGACCTAAAGTTATTACTGAAAGCTGAAGTATAAAGTTCTCCATTATAATTTTTATATTTTTTCAGATTGTGGAAGGTAACCATTACCCAAAAAAAAGGTCGATAAAAAACTGAAGGTTCCCTTTTCTAGGGAAACTCATCTGTATTGGTAGTCAATATTTAACGAAAAATAATATATCCAACTTAGCAAATCGTTGTATCGCCTTAGTTCTTGTATGTGATTCATTATATGCCAGAGGTCCGTTTCAATCTAACAACTCAATCATTTGTTAATTAGCTCTCCTAAAACTGAAATTTATTAATACATTTATGGATGTAGTCGTTACTACGTGGTATATAGGAAATCATAATCAAGAAAAGGGAATTGAAACTTTCTGTTTTTACCACTTTTATTTGTAACTAACGTTAGTTACGAACATAGAAAGTTTCAATTCTCTTTTCTTCATTATGAAAATTATTAATTATTAATAGAAAATTCATAGTTGAGGTTTCATAATCTGTAATAGAAAGGGAACCTTGAGCCGGCATCGAATCAAAAATACTTCACTTTCATTGATAGGTACAACATAACTTTCGGTTATATACCGGTACACGGATATATCAGAGGAAAACATTAATAAATTCCTAAGATTTCTTGCGCAATCCTCATCACACTAGAATAGCGAGATGATTATCTTTTTTGTCAAATCTCACCCACTGTCTTGAGGCCACACGGAAACTGGTTTTAAATAAGTGAAACTAAACATTAATGTATTACAAACATAATCAAGAGTTGCAGTATTATGAAGTGCTTTGAATAAATATGTTTATTTAGTTATCATCACATTAAATATGGCTTCAACGGCGGAATTAGTGACCGAGTCGGTAGCGGATTTGACGAAAAAAGATGAGAAACGCTTTGGTCAAATGGACTTCACAGAAAAAATGTCTTACGTGCAAGAAGTTATAACAGTTGAGCCTCTGATAGGAGCTTACGTGATGGCAGCAACGTTATGTGGACCCACTTTATACAATCTCGAATTCGAGAAGGCTTGCAGGGTAAACTTGGAGATGAACGACACTGTCTGCGAAGCCATTCTCAGCGGACAGCACGAAAACTTCACAAACCAGAACAACCAAGTGCTCATTGCCGTGAGCAACATGCACTCATGGCAGTTACCGGTGCAAAGCTTTATGCCTTTGATCCTGGTCCTGTTTTTGGGATCGTACAGTGACCGTCACCAAATTAGGAAGCCGTTTCTCCTCATTCCGATTTTTGGGGAACTTTTTGCTGTGGTAGGATGCATCCTGTGTGTGGTCTTCATGAGGTCCTGGTCGTTAGAGGTCCTAGGGGTGTTCCAGGTTGTTGTACCTTCATTCTTCGGAGGACAACCCATGATAGTGATGGCCGTCTTCGCGTACATTGCGGATGTTAGTACCCTGCAAATGCGTACCCTTCGCGTGGGGATCGTCCAAATTGTACTAAATACCATCCTCCCGATCACCCAACTATTCAGTGCACACTATTTTGAACTTGTGGGGTATTACGGGGTATTACTTACAGCGGGCGGACTATACATTCTGGGACTTGTCTATGGACTTTTTTGGATAAAGGAATCTAGAATACCAGTGAAGTCCAGTAGAGGATTACTGAGCGATGTCTTCGATCCAAAGCATGCTATCGATACCTTCAACTTGATGCTGAAAAAGAGCCCCGGCAATAATAGAGTTTACATTTCGTTAATTCTTTTGACACTTTTCGTTTACAGTGCGGTTGTGGTGGGTGAAGGTGGGATGTTTTTCAGCTACACTCAAGGCAGATTCGGTTGGACGATAGTGGAGTACAGCCATTTCATTTTCGTGAATACATTGATACATTTATTTGGTGAGTTACGAAACAGATCACATTCAGAAGCTCAATTTCTGTTTTCAACAAGAACCGGCTAGTTTTTAGAAAGTTGTTTTTGAAATTATTCTTTGAACATTAAAATACAATGTCAAAGACATGAAGAAAGCAATTAATTCCAAAATAAACTTCTCAAAAAGATTTGTTGATCATGCAAATAAATTACTTCTTTGTGAACATTGTGAACATCTGAACAGCATGACAATTTCTTGTATAAATATTTGGGAGCTTTTTTCAGTGATAATTTCATGATATCGACAAGCAATATGTAATGATTGCCTTTTTGCCATGTTGAGCCAGTTGATATTTTTGAGTTTATGTTGGCCACATCCGATGCCGTGTATTGAAGCTAGATAATTGTTTTGAACAACCTAAATCCTCCTCTTCATAATCAATGCATGGTCCATAGACTGCGCTTCCAAAATTGAATCTGGATAATACAAGATATTCACAGAGTATAGTTTTCTCTTTTGTTGGGACAGTGTCTTTTGGTACCTATAAATTTGTTTGATGTTCATATAGGCAATATTAATGCATTTATTGATATGACGTTTGAATTTCAAGAATGATACCTGAATTTTTTGCTCGCTCAGTCGATGCAACCATATCCTTGTCTACAGTTAAATGGAAGCTTCAGTGCTCTCTTAGTCCCAAAGACCAAAACTTATTTTTACTGGCATTGAGTTGAATGCTGCCTAGAAGTAGAAATCAATTGTCCCCCAAATATTGAGTTGCAGTCCTCGTGGTTCTGGTTCCCTTTCAGTGGAAGATCTTCATGAAGCAAAAGCTCAATCGATACCTCTATGAAACCCTTCATCACTTGGAAGGATCAATCGCAGCTTGAGAAATGGTTCTTTTGCAGATTCTGTGAAACATGTTCTTCCTTACGAATCAGTAAAGAGTTGTCCTGAAAATCTTAAGAAGAAAATTGGATTAGATAATTTAGGAAACATTTGCTACATGAATAGCATTTTACGAGAATTTCAAGAACGAGGTTTAAATGATGAACGAGAACGAAAATGCTTCCTACTTATTCACCAAACTCAAATACCTGTTCATGCAAATGCAGATGTTGTATCATCTTTCCCTCCAACCGATTTCCTGGAGTCTTTGAAGTCCGCTAGATACTCGTTAGGACAACAAGAGGATTGTTCCGAATTCTTTGGTTCTTGTTGAATACTCTTCGTGAGCAAAAGAATAGCATAATCAATACTCCTGACCGCTCTGGATTGAATGATTCCGTACAGTCGATCTCCCCACTTGTTCACTTTGTCTTTGTAGTAAATGTTCAAGAGGTAGCAAAAACGAATGTGAATTTCTGGAACTTCAACTAGCGTTTCCTAATATGACTAATAACCAGTCCTTGCAAAGCTTATTGTTAAATCATCTGAAAATGGAACTTTTAACAGGTGATGATCGACTATATTAGCAAACAAGCGCCAAACTAACTGACTGTTATAAGGAAACAAGTATAACTGAGACACCAGTCAATCTAATAATAACACTGATGATCTTCAAATATGGCTCAACCTCTGACGTAAGCACCAAACTCTTACGAAGGTTCGAAATAGATGAACATTTCAATCTAGCAGACCACTATTATAATATTTATGCAGTCATTGTTTACTGTGGCTCTGGCGTTGAATTTGGTCATTATTACACTTTGATCAAAGACGAAACGGACTGGTTTAAGTTTGACGATATTCGTGTCACGAAGTGTTCTGGCGATGTATTGAATTTATTGGAGCCTCTGAGGACACCCTACATTTTGTTTTATGAGAGAGAGGACATTAGCAGATGATGTGGTGCTGCAGGTTTTTCCGGGTTTTCCTGCAGCTGTAAAAGCAAATGCGCCACTGAAATCAATGAAGTCGCCCCGGAGCGCCAATTAATTTCTGTTGTTGTTTTATAATTTAATGATTTGTATTGTGGAAGTGTTATAAATTTTGAAATATATCATACTGAATACTGTTTCAAATGAGGCAATGTTTTCATTTAGCACCTGCAATGACTATTGCAATGGTGAGCCAGCAAGGCCATTGCAATAGCAATGATATTGCAATAACATTGCATGCATGTAACAATGTATGTTGAAACTTCCAACATAATATCATATACTTCCAGAATATAAAAATTAAGGAAGGTATGACGTAAGTTATTGAAATATTCAAATTGATCACTTGAGGCTCCAAAAATCCGCTTTGTCATTATTTCATTTATATAGCTGTCGATGGTTTCGACTGGGATTTTTTGAGTTGTTTCAATTATTTCCAGTAAGAGTTTGTTTCACATGAATTAGAGGTCTTACGAGTGCATTGGCCTCATTCTAAAGAATCAGTTGTCGATCAGAGTAACATCATTGTCACATAAAGATTGCAGCGGAAAGTCAAGACAACTCATACATATATAATGAAACATTACAAGACTTAATAACGAGTAATTTTTATGATTGTTCATGAATTTCAATACCCACAATTACTATCCAATTTATTTTGTTTCCTGGTTATTCCAAAGTCAATCATTATCATATTTCATCGTCTTCATAGTTTGTGTTGAACTTCAAACTGTTAGTAGAACAAATCTCAAATCTTCACCGCTCACTGGTTTAATAGTTTTTGTCAGAATAATGAATTTCGTATACAAATTCGTTTCATATATCTTAGAATGTTTCTGGAGCCTTTTGCAGTTGTTTGGGAATGGAAGAAATTATTTTTTTGTATTCATCGGCTGATGAAGTGATGATCTATTTCCAGAGAGCATCTTTAGAAAAAATATTCCAACACAGTCTGCAACTTACCAAATTTTATGGTGACGGCATTAAACTTTCATTTTTCAATTTAGAACAAGTATTTCCTAGACATATGTATTCTCAGTTACAATTTTCAGGATTATTTGTGTGGGGGGTGGATATTTGTGGTTTATAATAATAAGATGGAAGCATCCTACACTATTTGAATGCCGGATAGACGTATACTTACCTCGAGGCGGAACAACGCCACTCGCAAGAGGTAACAGCAGTGAAAAACTCTCTCCGCGGCAAGTATCAGCACAAACTTTGACAGATCTGGTTATCGGAACTATCGGGGAAGAACAAAGTTGCTGCAAAAAATATGATTGCCGTTCCAAACTTACTCTACTCGTTTGGAGTAATGAAGTGGACTCGGGAGGAGCTGTATCAACTCGACGTAAAAACCCAAAAAATGATGCATCGTCGTCCGTTCTACGGTTGTACTTCCTCCGACAACAGGGAGGCCTGCCGCAAGGCGCCGAGACCCTAATGGAACCCGTTCAGCAAAAAGCTCAGATAAAAGCCGCAGATATCACCTCACTTCTGCGGAAACACAAGGATGAGCCAATGCATGGGGGTCTTCTTCAATAACATTGGAGACCTTGGCTTATCAAAACGCCTGACGTTCGCTTTTCTCAGGCTGAGTGGGCTGAAGTCGGAAACTGAGGGGTTCATCATGGCTTGCCAGGATGGTGTCTTCAACACCTTAGTCAACCGCAGTCGCGTGATTGGTATAGAGGTTCCTGACACAAGGTGCAAGGCCTGCCGTGAGGCGCCCTAGACCCTAATGCACTTGCTATCAGCATGTCCAGCATATGCGGTCTCGACCTATACCCATCGACATAACGCTGCCCTAAGAGTTCTATATTACCATCTACGCCACTATTACGGTATCGACTAGACACCGGTGTTGCCCTACGCTAAGAGGGATATTGAATCCGTTGTGGGGAACGAGAAGTTTCGAATTTATTGGAACTATTCGTTCCCCACCTTCAGGCCCCTACAAGCTAATAAGCCTGATGAAGTCGTTCTCGACCACCAGAGCAAAACGATATTTGTCGTGGAGTTTTCAGCTCCTGGCGAAACCAGAAAAGAGGAGGAAAAACGGATAAAATATCGAGAATTTCTCTTCAAACTCCGCAGACTCTGCCAAGATGGTTGTTCTCATTATTGGAGTCCTTGGTGGAATGATGCCCTCTCTAGTCTCGAATCTTGAAATCATACCGGCTTGCCGCAGTAAGGCAGAAATTTTAGCCGGACAGATGCAGAAGGCTGTCATTCTTGGCTCACTGAGCTTGCACATGGCACATGATTCTCGGACCCAATGATCACTTACCCCACGGTGTGGGGAGTGGTCGTTGGTTGATAATGCTGCATACTTCGGTAAAAAATAATAATGATTTATTCATCAGTAAATCAAAACACATAAATATGAAGTGAAGTATGTGGGGTACATTATAGTTTGACGAATAAACTGATACTTCCACTGAGGGTAGAAACCTGTGTGTGGGTATAAGGAACAATTAGAGAACAATTAAATATTAAAAAACAGAACAATTATGACAATTGAAAACAATAAGGTTCAAAATATTTTGATTCAGATATAAAATAGAAATAAATAAACATTTATAATTCGAAATTTTTGTATAAATAAAAACACAACATAAAATTAGGACAATAAAGAATAAAATATACTCGTCCTTTACTCAAAACTTTGATACCTATAATTGGACGTAACGTAGAAATTGCGATGTGTTAGATTTGTACAAAGAACAAATGAGTTTTATCAGCACAGCGGAATTTCATACTGAATAATTCACAGTTATGAGTGTTCTAGCTTTTAAATGATAACGGATATTATTGTATTTAAAAAATAATCTTGAAATCGCAGAGTGGAATTATCTCTCCTACCCCATAAATTTGCCCTCATCAAAATTAATGAGCCTTTCAGTTTTTGAGTAGTACGCTTGTCTGTTCAAAGTATTTGTTAACATCCTCAAATTAACTATTTTTGTCTTACTAAAATAATGACCAACTTAACTTGGAAATTACAATAGAAGATACTTAACTGCATGTTATTTCTTCCAGGTACTGCTCTAGCTGTTCCTCTCTTCACGAAGGTGCTCAACTTTAGTGATATGACAATTTTACTCATAACAATAATTGATAAAATTGTGAGTAATTTTGTATTCCTGTTTGCTAACACAAGTACTCTTCTTTACGCAGGTAAGAATGCCATTTTATAGGACAAGGTTACACAGATATTTTGATCTATAAAAAATACTCTTCAACTTTCAAAACTACAAAATACGCTCAAAATTCACAGGCATAGAATGAATCAATCCAACGAAAACATATCTCCCACACCATAAAAGCGTAAACAATGGATATGACACTTGACTTTCGAAAGCACCTAAAAGTCTAGTGTCAAGTACCAGCCTCAATATATAAGGTCGTTCTCCAAATCATGGATACTATTCTGGTTTACGAAATCCGCGTATTTTTTTAAATGAATTTTAATAGCTCATTTCAAAGACGTGTTGTTAGCTCAGAGCTGATTTTAGAAACCCTAATCTTCTCAATGTTTATTTTCCTGCCTTCAATGTTATAGTCGAAGTAAACGATATTGTGTATACTTAAAGTTGTGGTTTCCTCGGACAAGTACTGATAGTAATAACGAGTGTGATGTAGTGATTCCAATAGCGATTGTGAACAATGCGAAAAAGAGATACCAGGTAATAAGATTTGGATGCATTTGAATATTGAAAGACACAGAGTATGTTTCAATGTATATAAGAATCTACATCTCAAGTTTTATTTCCAAGGAAACAAACTATTACAATCAACATCATATTTGACCGAAATTGCTTTCTCAACTGTACGTAAAATAGTCAAAAATAAACCTTATGAATGCAAGACGCGATATGATACATGATTACTGTGACAAAGGCAATGAGATTCCTACAACTGAAATCATAAGGAAGAAATCGAATACTTCCGGCCATAACGTGAGCTGTTATGACAAAACTTTTCAGAATTGGAAAAAGAAACTAGGATTTAGATTTAAAATAATAAACAAACGTCAAACAGTTATGGAAAGCACAAGAATAGTTGAATTGCGTAACAAATAACTGAATATAGACAAAAACAACGGCAAGTTTTCTATTTAGACGAAAATTGATATTACACTCACGACACAGTTACGAAAGGGTGGACTGATGGTTCGAGAATGTGTACGCCTAACATGCCTGCAAACAAAATTTGATAAGAAGGTAATAGAGCTAATTAGTTAAAGTGGGCAAAAAGTTTAGGAAACTGTGAACCTAAAACCTGTAAATCATCATTGATGGTATATGCGTTGACTGCAAATATGCATTTTAATTCGCAGAACGTCAAAAAATCAAATACAAATTTAAGGCTTTATGGAAAATATGGAGTTGACTATTCGGAATCTCGAAGGATTGAAAAGAGTATTTGTTGTGTTTAAATAGGTGCACAAACGATATGATTGATTATGCCACCCGGTACTGAAATTGTTATATTTCATAATGGAAGTCTCTCGAAGCGACGCGACGATAGAGAAGCGCAAGTTGAGTTGAGCGCGACCTTGGCCAAGCCACAATCGATTGACAAAGACCAGCAGCGGCCGGCGTTATTTTTTTCAGGGGAAAATTCACACCAATATATTACACATCAGTATCATTTTCATGTTCTCAAAAAAGTAATCAGATTGTCCTCGTTCCACACTACTACAAACAAATTTCTAAGAACTATCGAACTGACTAATATAGAAATTAATTTAATTAAACTTCTAGCTGCCGTTGTTAGCATTGTGACTGGAGTAACACCAATTGGAATACGATCACTTGCGACGAAAGTTGTATCGGAAAGCGACTTAGGAAAGGCGCAATCGCTATTCGGAATCTGCGAAGCTCTCGCTCCCGCCATCTCGACCCCTATTTACAATAAAGTGATTTACAACAATACGCTGGAAACGTATCCCTCAGCATTTTTCATCCTTGGGATTCTGCTGTTCGCTTCATGTAGCGTTGCAATATTGTAAGTACACTTGATATAAAACTTTACAGACACCCAAGAAACATGTTGGGTCAATGAAAGAATACACATGCGTCAAATTGTGTATTCGTTAGTAACGATGAAGTAACGAAAACGAACCGATGTAGTTTCTGATCCGAACAACCTAATCTTTCAATAAAGGTTTTTATATTTCTGAAATTTTGGGTGAAATTCATATTTATTTTATCAACAGCTTTATTCGAAATTTGACTTTGGCATCAATTTCTGCTTCGATCGAGATGTAAAATAACAAAAACATCGGCCCCGTAATTCTCATGATGTGGCACACCTATTCCAACAGTCGTGTCACTTGTACTAATTTGTGCAGGTCCTTTGTTGGATATTCTCCTGACTTATAGCACTGGATCACTCTGGTGATACCTCCTGTAATCCACTGCAGCACATTTCCATAAGACACGACAGACCTTCTCTGCCTCTTTGTTGCGTTATCTCCAGACAATGTTTTCGTTATACAAACGTATTTTGCACGGGTGTTCACTGTCCAAATGAACAGCATCCGATGAATAATCCTGCAATTATTCAGAGCCGATCCTTACTCTGTTGACGCAGTTCTTCAGGTCTTTCCTAAGACAGCTTTCCTGTTTATGTTCCCATGTAAATTGTTCTATTATTTTTCTTATTGGCCTATTTCATATGAATGATTTCGGTACCACAATTTCCCACCACCTGACTTCTTCATTTCTTCCAAGTCTACGAAAACACTTCAGCCTCATGGGCACATTGCGATTTTCTCCCATCCCATTTCAACATTGTGCCCTGTACTAGTTTGTATATGTAGGTACCTTGCTGGATATTTGTCGTATTCTTCTGGACATAATTTGAGTTGTCTTTGAATTTGATAGCCTCCTGTGATTCAGTTCTTCACATTCGCATAAATTACAGGGTATTTTTCCAATATTCTCTATGTTTCTCATATACCCACTTTACAATCTATAAACTTTGGTACCCCCTCAACTGGTTCACATATATATGGAGTTGATGATCCGTGTCTGACAGACTCGTCAGCTTCTTCGTTACCTGTGATGCCTGAGTCTCCTGGCACCCAGCATAAAGACAATCTGCTCCTGTCTGTCGATGTCACTTTTGCGTTCATCAGTGGCCTACAGAGTTTATGAGAGAGTCATTTTCTTCTTTGAAATGAAAGAGAATGAAAGACTTGAGTTTGATGGGTTTCGCCTACGGCAAATCTGAACGTACTAGTTCTCGGTGGTCAGAGCTTGGTCACTTTTGGAGTCATGGCAAAAATTTCCTGTGGAAAATACTCTTGCTTTCAGTAGGTATATACCTTGTGTACTTCATCGATAAGTAGAGGGGAAGAGTCTGATGCATGCTAAAAGTTTACTTCATGCAAAATTGGAAAACGAAAACCAAATATAAATTACCGGCTAAGAAAATATTTGTATCATGTTAACAATAAAGTTTTGAAGGTCACCTGCAAGAGTCAGTCCGCCGCTGTGAATTATTCATAACTGAAAGTCAAACAAAGATTATGAGAAACGTTTCACATCGTAAATGAAAAAGTATTGATACGATATAGGTATTACTTCAAGAAATTTTTTCAATATTATTCAAAGGTTTATGTTGAGTAAAAAAGATAAGATTTGTTGATATACTGTCATGATATGTTACTATAAATATAAGATATTTACTGTAAGCTTGTAAGTCCCCGGTAGTATAGTGGTCAGTATCCCCGCCTGTCACGCGGGAGACCGGGGTTCGATTCCCCGCCGAGGAGAATTTTTTTTATTCTTCAATGTTGCCTCCTCAGGCAGCATATTAATAAAACGTTCCAAGAAAGTCCTATTGTTTATAACATTTGTCAGCTACTGTTAATGAATACATTAAATCCTTTTTTGAGGTAACAATATCTAATGTTCATATTTGTTATAGGTATGCCCAAGTGAAATATAACACATATCTGTATTGTGGCGTATGATATATGATAGATTATTAGATAAATGTGTAGATACGCTGCACTTCTCATTTATTATATTCTAAAAATCGATTGTAAAATTTTGATTATTGGATTATTTATAGTATAAATGGAAATCAATTGTCAATTACCTATAGTATTCTACGACCACGCCTTCAAGGTAATAATTCCTGAACTATTAACTTAATGAGATTCATGTTGATCATTTTCACAAAAATTATTCTCATGTAATTTTGGATATTTTCAACCTTTCGAACAAAAAATGAGATTTATTCAATCTTCAAGCAACATTTCTGTTTATTCATCAAAATTAACACTTTCTCATAATACTTGATGCGTGTACTTAAATGATCCAGCAAAACTCTCTGATTTGAGACCAAATATTTAACTTTTCTTCTCTGATGTTTTGGAATATTGATTAAATAACAGATTTTAAGCTATGCATTGCAATTTAGTATCATTACTAATGTACAAATATCAAATATAGGTTCTGTTTACAGTACATCACTACAACAGAACTGTCCCTAATTACGGATGACATCTTTGCTTGTCTGGATTAAGGTAATGGTACCACTGTCGTACTTTTAAGTTACAGCACGACGTTCGACACCATAAATACCAATTTATTAAAAAGTTATGCGACTGATCGAACTCAATTTGTTATCGTAGAGTAAAAGTACGTAGTTCCACAAGGCTAAGTTTGGTTTCCACTACTCTGCTCTATATACAGGCCACTTTTTAGCTGATCCCACTATGCTATCTCGGAAACGGTAAGACCCACAAGGTGGGTTGAATCGGACAAAAATGTTCTATTACGAGGAACTAAAATAATCTCTTTTCCCTGCGTTTTTCTCATCATCACTGCATAGTTATACAATTCCCAGTTGGAGCTACCTCAAAAAAAATAGGGACCAATATTTTCTGGGTCTAGAACTCAAACCTATATAAAGTGTCACCATTAAAGTGCACACCATATGGGAAACTTTTTTTTCGAAAAGTTTCAATGAAGTTTAACTTCGACACTTGTTTGTGCTTTAAATTTAACTTAAAATGATGCGGCCAACTG